AGAAGACTAAAATTGACTGCAGAACAGTTCCCTTCCATTGGTCAATTCTCACTTGTATTTACCCAGCCCAGAAAGAATTTAAAAAGCATTATCACTGGTAAAATCATCATCATCATCAATCAATCAAACTCTGCTTTTTTTCTAATCAGAGGCTACTATTTATATTTTTCCAAATATAGATGGTCATAGTGCTACTAACATTTCATATCTTCAAGGAGAGAAGGAATAGTGAAATTTTTCCTCTTCAAGATTAATCTTTATTTTAATTATAAACCAAGCATGGTGATACTATGTCTTGAAACTTTCGCAAGAGCGTTAATTATTAAGTGGAGTGTCTTTTTTTGTATGTTTGTTGGTTTGGTTTTTTTTTTTTTTTAGAGTGTCTTTTTTTAACAACCTCTGTTCAGGATAAAAGATCTTGCACACTATTTGGTGTAGAGGATTCAGTATAGATGGATCTCTGTCCATCATCTTTCCAAGTGGCAACCATGATAGCAACCAAATGGTTGCTATGATTTTTCCAAATTTTATTATTTTATATTATAAAATGTGTATCCTCAGATAGTTTCAAACTCATATTTGTCATTTTTTATGATGTCGCAGAAACATCTTCACAGAGGACTTGTATATGGACTCTAAGCTTTGTTCACACTATTGGTTTTGATGAATAACCTAAACTAGTATTAGTCTTTAGTATTAGTATTCACCTAAACTAGAATTAGTCTAAATTCTGTTGGATGAAATGCACATCCTGTTAACCTCAACCAACATGACTACGTCCACATCTGAACTCTCACTCTTGCTTAACTTCAAACCATAACCTAGTTGTCTCCCTGAATGAGTCAAATCCCTAAAGTCCTGTGCAATAAAATATTCTCACAAATAAGCCTAGTCTTTCCCTAAAATGGCTATAATCTAATTCTGTATGTGGAAGTATTTATTAGAAATGTATGCTGCTTCTTCCTTCTAGTACTTTCTGAGATGTGGAAGCATCACACAGGGTGATGTGTAATATATGTGTACAGTCCAATTTGATTTTCTGACATAGGGAAGCACAAATTCTCTCTGGAACAATTTCTTTGACTGGTTCACTGTAGAAAAGAAACTTGTCACCGTGCCAAAGACAAAACTGCTGCTGGGTTTAGTTTTGAATTTTATAAAGTGAATAAGTGAAAAATATATACACATTCATTTCAACTCAAGTTATGAATAATTAAATGAATATATAATTGTATCCATTTTTACCCTCAAGCCTCACCAGCAAAGACATCTTCAGTCCATGTAAAAAGGGTACTTCACGTTTTTTTCGAAACGTACGAGTGAGCTGCCAGACATCACTGAATTTATATGGTTGTAAGCAAGAATAACAAGCTGTCTATAAAATCATACAATGGGGAGTGAAGCAGCATGCAAGAGTTTTGTTCAATGTATCTTATGCCTTCTGAAATCTGAACTTACACAAGCATTTTCTTAGCATTGTCTCCAATGTCTTGTTCTTCATCCTCTCTCATCTTACCTCTGGTCCAAGGTTGGGTTGGGAGTTGGGGAGTAGGCCTAGTGAACATCATTAAGTAGCATATGTGAATGTAACTAGAAATTGCATTTTCATGTTCAGAACCAGTCCTCCAGAAATTCTTTCTTAATAGAACAATAAGGGGGTCTTCTTATCATAAATAAAAGAATCAGATTCAATTCCAAGATCTTGGTGGGGAACTAGGGCCAGTTCGTACAGTTGAGCAGGTTGTGTCCTGCAGACAGCACTCAGCTGAGGGAGCACTCTATTTATGAAGACACATGCTCAAGCACAAGGCTTTATATGCCCACGAGGGAATGCTGTCTTTTGAAACTTTGCACAAAGGCACCTATGTGATAATTAGAAAAGGTAGGTTCAGTTCACCAACCTTGCCCCAAGGAGTTTTATCCAGCCAGAGGGGATTCCTTTGGCTACTTTGCAGACAACTGTCACATGGGCTAGCAGCACCTCTGTGAGGAATTTTCTCATTCTAATAGATATCTTGATTTTGCCATCTGTAAGGCAGGAATTATGAGAAACATTCAGGCAAAAACTGTGTAAGGAGATGCTCTTTTATTTACAAAAACAATCTGAAGGAGTGCAATATGCCCTACTAGTAGAGTAACGGCATGCACAAAATTCTCCATCTGTTGGGAGATGCCATGAGACTGGTTTGATGAGGGGACGAAGGGCTCACAATGGGAATAGCAAAGCACAAAGAAGCAGAAAAGGGCTACCCAAGAATCTGTGCGCTGAAGTGAAGTTAGCACAAGAGTCTCACGCTTTCATGGCAGAGTGGGCCAGGTGGAGAAGAGAAATAGGACATAAAATATATACCAAGACCATAGTTTCCATATGGAAAACCTGCCAATACAAAATAATAATAAACATTTATATGACAACCTCTAGCTGTAAGCTCTATAAAAATAAAAAAATAAAAAATAAAGAAAATAAGGAAATTGAGGAAGGGTTAGGAGGAGTAATTAGTAATTTCCAGGCTGCAAATGGTCCTTCCCTGAGGAAACCATGTGCCTAATAACAGACAGAGCTTCCCAGAGAAAAGCCACTTTACCACTCACCCTGAGACATTGTTGTCATTCTGACTTTCAAGAAGGTGGCAGAGGGCCTGTGGAGGCTAAAGTAACTCCATTTTGGATGCTAATCTGCTGTGTTGACTTCTGATTAACCTCAGTTCTGGGAATACCCCTACGATTCCAACTTTATCTACTGTTAGCCCTTATTTACCTTAAATCCTGTCCTTATGTCAAAACACCCTTGATGTTATCATAAACATATACTTACCGTAAGTCCTGCCTTTAAGTAAATTATAGACTGTGACATACATAGCATTTTTGCCTTTCCCTGAAAGGTTGACTTCAACTATTCTACACATCCTTTTTGAAGCAGTATTCCCTTTCCCTATGGTGTATAAGCCCTGGATCTGAGGTAACAATGCAGAGATCCGCTTGCCAAGTGATGTCTTCTACGTATGGTCCGGAAGCCATATTTTCTTTTCCTCTGAATTTTTTTCCAATTTTTAAGAGTTTAAATTACTGTCCATTCAATGTGGCACATAGAAACAATAAGTTACTGTAAAAATATTCTAAACATTGACCAAAAAATCTGGAAACACAGGGAAAATAGTGTATTTTTAATACCTTTTAGATTAATGGTTGGATCTGTTCCTTTAAAAACACTTCATGGAAGAAGGTTCATGGAAGTTGAAGGAAAATATGTTGAGCATATTATTTTAAAATGTAACTAATATATAGCTTGGAAATGAGTAAGTCCTGTAATTCTGACTTTTTGGACTCTCCATGAAGTGTTTTTTTAACTATAAAAAAATGGAGCAACCTAAATATTCAATAAAGGATTGCTACTTGAATAAATTATCTGTAATAAAAATGATGACATTGACCTGAAAAGGAGTTCATGATAGATTTTAAAGGAAAAGGAAATTATAAACTATTAAGTACATTATCTCATTTTTATAAAGGCATGTATGTGCAATTTAGACAGTTTTATATATGTGTATATATATACATACACACACAAATCTGAAAGGATACACACAAATGTATTAACAGTGATTATCTTTTTTGGCTTGTCTGTAGTTTGTAATGTTTCAACAATATGTATGAGTAATTCATGAGATGGGGATAAAAAGTAGAATGGCTTACTCAAAACCAAAGCAAACACTGATCAAGCTTATTAAATGATAAAGTTGCTAAAATGAAGAACAGATACAAACTGTGTATGATTTCCAATGATTTTCTGCCACCCTGTGGGGAATTCTGCACATTGCAGAACTGAAATAAACAAAATTTGGAACTATGAAAAATCTGTAACTGAAGATGAAATTTTGTACAGGAGCATGGCCCAAGAAGTTGTTTAGCTAAAACTGTTCATCAGTTTTGTTTTCTCTGCCAGCTATTTAGGGTAGAATTGGTAGAATAGGATAAAAATAATAATATGTAACACTTATATGTGATTGTAATATAAAAAGCACTATAATAAATATATGACTTTATCTCATAAAAACCCTGAGAGGTAGGTATTATTTTTTTCTCCATTTTATAGATGAGGTACAGAGTTTAACCATCTACTAACAGTAAGTAAATGTTGCCAAAGTAATGTGAATGTAAGCAGCTGCTCCAGAATGATACATTTTTTGGTTATGATTAAAATTTTCGAGCTTTTCCATATCCCTCAGGCCCAATCATTCCCTAATGGAATTACCCAAATAGTTGACTGCTGGGCCTTTGTATGGATTTAGTAGATAAAATTTCTGAGAGGGATTATCATGTTCTCCAAACTATTCTCATTTCCTTAAAGCTGTAGAGCAGAATTGCCAGCCTGTGGCTCAGGCCTATAATACGAGGGCTTTGGGAGGCCCAGTGGCAGGAAGATCACTTCAGGTCAGGAGTTTGAGACCAGCCTGGGCAACAGGGCAAGACCCTGTCTCTTAAAAAATTAAAAATATATATAAAAGTATGGTCCACAGACCTGGACTCTTCATAGAACTGTTTGCTACCAGCAAGACAAGCACAGAAATGGAGATTCAGCCTTTAGAAACCTTTATGGCAATTTTACAAGTAATTTGATGACTGTTGACTCTAATGATAAAATGTTTCTACTTGGATTTCGATGTCTTTTTTCATTTCATTTTTCTATTTTATCAAAGTATGGCCCATAACTAATTGAAAATTTTTAAAAAATAATAAACGGATCACTCCCCACAGATATTTTGAGAAGCACTGCTGCAGAGTAAAGCTGTTCGCACTCGAGGATTTTTACCAAACTCCAAGCATTCTTCTGCAGTCCAGTTCCCCAAAATGAGGCTTCGGATATTTTTCCTCCCCTCATTTCGTCCATTTTATAACACACATTATTATTGATCATTATGTATTGATCATTAATTACATTTACTGTAATGATCAATAAAGACAAGCAGACAGAAAATAAAAATAACTCTTTGAGACTCCAGGGCCACCTCCCCAGCTAAAAGAAAAGCGTGAAGTTGCGTCTCGAGCTTCAGAGACGGCGCCAACGAGGCGTCGCCGCCACCGGCCTGCCCAGAGAGGAAAAAGGCCGGCCGGGCGCGCGCATGCGCGGGAGTTAGCCCGCGACAGCCGAAGGGGCCGGGGGCGCTGTGGGTTCCAAGAAGACGCCGCGCCTCTGTCTCCGCCTCGGCCTCCGCCCGCTGCCGCGCCTGAAGCAGGTCAGGATGTTGTCACGTCCGGCGGGGCGGCTCACTGCGTCCGGGTCACCTGCTGCTACCGCAGCGGCGCCGCTGCGGCCGGGGGACCGGGCGTGAGTCTCCACCGCCGACCGAGGGGAGCGGGCTCCGCTCGGCACCGCTTTCTGCGACCTGGCCGTCAGCCCGACGTCGCCGGCCTGGAGGGACGCAGAGGACGAGGGGGCCGAGGCTTCCTCCGGGGTGAGTGCGGCCTGGGGGGACTCGGCGCGGCGGCTCTGGGCTGGGAACCGGCCGGGGGTCGCACGTCGAACTGGCGTGGGCCCCCGGCGGACCGGGGAGTGGAAGCCTAGAGGGTTATCTGTTGCACGGGGCGCCATAGAATCTGCTCGGGAGGCGCTTCCTGGATCCCCGCCCAGCTTCGGTCCCCGCCCTTGGCTTGGCTCCTGTTTGTCTCTGCCAGCTTTGCCCCCCACCCCACCCCTTTTCCGTTTGGGGTAGTTGTACTTGGGATGGAAGCTGCCCCCTTCTCTGCTCCCCACCTCTGTCCTGGCCTGGGTGCGGTGACTGGGCCACGATGGTTCGTATTTATGACCAGCGTCCGTCCTGGTGCAGAACAAAGAAACTTGAACTTCTAGTGTCCCTCGTACCCTCGGGGAATAGACACGGAAGCAGGGTAAATAATCAGAGGTTCAACAGATCTTACTGAGCAAGCTAAACCAAATATAGAGTGTGTACATCAAAAGCGGAGTCCCTGCGTGAATTCAGGAACTGTGTTTTCTGTTTAAATACCTGGCAAATGGTTTGGATTTTCTGGGTTCATCTAAGGCCACTGGAGAGCTACTAGATCGGCTAAAGTTAAATCAGAAATTTATTTAGGCCTTTATTACGTTTCTTGGAAATTTAACCTTGTCTGTCCCGGGAGCTCTGAACACACAGCTTTTGCCCCGTTCGAGGTAGCTATAGTGGCTCCCATTTAGTTAGTTGAATGAAGTAGGTGTGATTGCATTTTAGTATTGCTTTTTTCATTCTCACCTTTTTTTTGATTAGAATCTCCTATTTCTCCTAATGCTTGATTTCTTATTTTTAATTAAATGTATTCCTTTTCTAACATTTTATAGGAATCTCTGTAGTTGTACAGAAGACATTCTGTAATTTGTAAATGGATAAGTTACCTCAGAATTATTATAACTGAAGTTACCCAATTAAAGTTAACCTGCAGACTAGTTTCTTGATCATCTTGTACATTTTCTCCTTAGTTCTTGTCATTTTACATTCTCTGTAAACTCAATTCCTATTCATAATCTATAGCTCAGCCTGATATTGTTGGACTTAGACAGGAAGTATGACAGATCCACTTCTGCAAACACAGAACTTGAACTAGATTATTATTGTAAGTCAGTGCTATTATGATCTTTAGGCATTACAGGACCTTTGAAGCTAAGTGTAACGAAATCTGTATTACAGGCTTATTGTGTATAAAGTTGCCAGTGAACTGAAGACAGTGTGCTGTATTAGAAACAGTTATGGACGAGATCTGAGGATCAGGATGTGGTGTGACGTGGTGTCCTTGCCTCAGATATAAGATGGGGATAATAACAGCAGGGTTTTATACCTCACAAAATTGTTGGTTGGAACATATGAGAAGATGGATGTCAAAGTGATTAATAAATATGAAGAGCACTATTTGGGGAAGTGGTTCTGTTCATTCTGTCCGGAGTAATGACGGTAGAAGGAATGATAAGGAAGACTTCTGAGAAAGAAAGTATGTGTATAACTAAATCCAATAAATTAACACGGGCTGACAGTAGATTAACAGATGTCTTGTTAAGCTTCCATCCCATAAGCAGAATTCTAGTACAATATGGTGATCGTAATATTCCAAAATTATAATTTTATATTACAACTAATATTTATAACTCTATGACAGTGTTAGAGATCAGTTATTAGACTTCAGTCTTTTTAAAGGTCTCAGAACATCTCCAGTATGTTCTGCATACTGATAATTTAATAAATGTACCTTTTATAGGTGACATAATTATCCTTTGCTTTATTTTCACAATTTCGAGAGAAGTCAACACCATTCTAGTTTTTAATCTAACTTTTGTGTTAACATTTCTGGTAGAGCATCTTATTTCATTCTTAAAAACCTACATGACCCTACCCTTAAGAGAGCAATGACAAGCAAGCATATAGGACTTTTCTAGGGATGTGTTGGTGATCTTCATAAACATATAGGCTAATCATTAAAAAGTGAACATAAGTATTTAAATTGAATTCTTTTGGGGAAGTAAAAGGCTTAAATGGGGAAGTAAAAGGCTTGTCTGGGCACTTCCTTCTGCCAACCATAATTGATTTCAGCATAAATGGCTGTTACTAGCACCTATTCCAGCAGCAGTGTTAAACTACATTATGGTAGAATTGCCATGTAAAATTATGTTATAGTCTAGACAGTTCTAAATATGATCTTAACATTTAATTTTTGCTTATGTTGCTCAGCTGCAAGGGGAATCCCCTTTTTCATCTTCGTTGGATCTATCACCACACCTCCCCTCTGAAGCTGTGTCAGGAGGAAATCCATTATTTCCTTGATTTTTAACCTACCTTGGTCAAGGACTGTTTTGAATTCATCTTTAGTACCTCCACAGATAACTGGCATAAGTACTGACATGCCACAACTACCACCAGTCTTTTGAGAAATTGGGTTATTTCTGTTGCATTAGGTTTTTTTAACAAATAGCATCTTAGTGTTGTTTCCACATTGTAATAATAAAAAAAAAAAAAATCAATGAGCAAAAAATGGGAAGCAACCACAGCTAACTTGTGAGTCAGCAATATCCTGATTTCCTTCAAAGTGGTTGTGCTTATATTAATTCCTTTCTTGTTTGTTTCCTGTTCTTACAGCTGCTTGTTGATAAAGTGCTTCCAAGAACAGTACTCTCTCAATTGTTTAAATTGTCTTTAGCCACCTAGTGTACTTTTCCCCTAAAATTCATAATGAAATGGTCAAGTGAATCCATCTTTATCTCTCCTATGTTCTGTTTAACGAGCTTGATTTTCTCCAAACTAAATATCCATGTCCATATGCTAATGTGTATTAAAGTAAAAATGGAATAAATAGGCTAAAAGAGTTCTTGAAAGACTTGTTTAGAGGAGCTGTTTTCAAATGATAACTTGTTCAAGTAATTCAACAGCTAAAATGTATGGGTTATCTTCTAGAATTTCCCAAGATAGATATTTCCTCTTACAAATAAGGAATAATTTTACCAACAGAAATTTATATTGCATGTATGTAGATTCCCACAGAATATTTTCATTACATTTTTATGAGGTAAAACATAATAGAAATCCTATTTAAGCAGTTTAATAAGCAAAATTAACCTAAGAAATTGAGCAAAGGCTTGCTATCCGGTGTCATACTTTACAGTTAAATATTTATTCATTTAACTAATTTTTACAGGCCTATTATGTGCCAGGCACTGTGCTAGGTGTTGGGAGTATATTGGTTGCAACTTTCAGTCACTGCTTTTATTTTTGAAATATTAAATATTTTTCTAAGCATTTGAAATATCTGAAAAAGATACCCAGAGAACATCCTGATATTTTTTTTCAACACCCAGAAGAAAGGTGAAATGAGATAATGCAAAGTTTTTCTGGTTATTGATTTTAGGAAAATATATTCACTTTAAAGTGAGTACCAAAGTCTTGAGAAAACTTAACATTGAGAAAGATAGTGAAGTAAAAATCTGGAAGAGACTGGGTTTTCAGCCTTTACTGATAGAATGCTTTGGTCTCACTTGAGCATGATTCTGAAGTATTAAGTATTAACATTTGGGCTTGTTGGCTATAATTCTGGGCTCTTTTGTTTTTCTTTTTTTCTTTGTAACTAATTCTGTGTTCTGAATAGGAGTTGTTTGGTAAGGTAGGTGTCCGTTTTTTATTTTCCCTTCTATACAAAGGAAGAGTTGCTGTCAGAAAGCAATCAATAAAGTAATCATTGCAGATGTGTGTTCATTGCTTTAAAGTATAGGTTACATATTAGAATCAGAAACTACCAAATAAGTCAGTTATTGTATTTTAACTGTTTTTCATTTCTCAAAATTATCTGGCTCAGAGTTTTCCCAGAGAATTAAAAATGTCTTACTGGTATATATAAATAAACTAACTTTTCCAGTCAAATATGTTAGGAAAAGTCAGCATCAGTCATTTTTTCTGTGCTAACTAGTGGATCTTAAAAATTTTAAACCTTTTGGGAATGTTTGAAACCTTCTCTTGAGTATAAGTAAAAATTCAAACTGAGAGGAGAGCCTTCCAGTCTTGGTGGAGATATAAATTTAGTTTTACCATGTGAAATCTAGCACTTTAGGAAATTTCCATTGTAATTTTTTCTGTTGTTCTGGAATATAATACTTTTTTCTGTATAACTTTGTGCATTTTTTGAGTGTTGTAATGACATAGCAGGTAAGGCAACCATAAAACATGACCACATTTTTGTTTTAGAAGACTAGTTGATATGAATGTGAATGGCTAGCATGATTTGTTTTATTCGATAAGTATTTTTTTTTTAAGTTATACATAGTTTTAAAAGGCAGCTAGTTGCAGTCGGTGGTTTACGCCTGTAATCCCAGCACTTTGGGAGGCTAGGTGGGAGGATCACTTGAGCCAAGAGTTTGAGGTTGCAGTGAGCTGTGATTGTGCCACCGTACTTCAGCCTTGGCAACAGAGCAAGACTGTCTCAAAAATAAAATAAAATAGTGTAGAAGGACTTAACTATGAAAGCATCAGTTATTCTCCCCATCTCACCATCTTTCCGCATCTACTGGTGCCACTTTTAACGTAATCTCTTAAGAAATGTATTACTGTTGTTTTTGAATAACTTCAGACATCTGTGACTGACTTTAATGCAGATGAACTAAATACTCATTTATACCTCTTGCCCTCTATAGTTTCCACTATTTTGTTGCACTGTTAACCAGTTGATCTTCATGACTTCTTAAATACCATACCTAAACTTACATTGCTTATTCCATCAGCCAAAGGGATTGGACTCTTCCCTTTCTCTTCCCTTTGTAAAATGAGGACATTGGCACTCATACCCTTCCTTGGAAAAACTATTAGTAAAACTAAAGTTCATGGCATAAGTTAAAATAAGTAGTTGCATAAACAAAGACATTCAACAAGTTTAGTGTTTGAAAACTTACGCCACACCAAATGAGAAAGGTATGGTGTGGATATGAAACAAATGGAAAGGTAGCCTGATTCATTTACTAGACAAGTTACTGCATCAAAACTATAAAGTAGGAAATATAAATGATAGCATATCACTTGGCTCTACTGAATCATGAGAGTGCTAAATGTTATTTACTAGTGGTAACTTTCTAGAATCAACCTCTATCCAAAGGACAGAAAATTTAATTATGAATCTATAGCAGAGAACATGTTTATTTACTTTTATTTCTTATTCCCACCTCAAATTTTTTTGTATAATCCATAGTATGAAATATATTTTAAATCACAACCTGAAAGACTATATATACAACTGAAAACAAATATTTTCACTGAACAATATCTTTACTACAAACAATACTTACTTTGCTAGAATATATGTATTATATGTGCTAGAATATATATACTAGAATATTTTCTATTCTAATTCTTTAAAAAAAAGTTGCAACTCAATAAATTGATTTCATGACCAGACCACTGAACTAAAGCCTATAGTTGATAGAGTAGAGGTATGAACTAAGGTGTGAGGTTATTGCACCTTTTCAGTAGGTTAAAAAGTAGAGTGGAAATTAAATTGTTTAAACTTTTCTCTCTTTATCACAGGCCATTGGCTCTCTGGATTATCAGGAGTCTGTAGTTGACATTGAATCCAGGCTGAGGATGGAAGGTGTGGAACTTAAAGAAGAATGGCAAGATGAAGACTTTCCAATGTGAGTAATACTTATAAATGAAAACTAATTCAGAACAAAACTTCAGGATTTCCTTATTGAGATGTCACTTGTTAAATGAATATTAGGCTTCTTAAAGAAACCCAGTATTACAAGATGATCATTTGATACTAGGAAATGAAAGTTCCTCTCCATTAGTTAGAGTAAAATTCCATCTTACTTTCCACCCACATATATATGTAATCTTCAATAATCTTTCATTTTTGTTTTGATCACTTAAGTTTCAAAATTTTTGTCTTTATAAACAATACTTTAATGCAATATTTTTAAAACCGAAGGTCTTAGGGTTTCTTGGTGAAGGGAGTCTTTGGTTGTCTGCAAGAATTTTTAAATTTTGTGGGTTTTTTCTAAGAAAAAACTTATTAAATAAATAAACAAGGATTTTCTGGATCATTTGGCCAACCACCTTGGTACATTTGCATTTGTATTTATAATTGTATTGACACCAGGTGGGCTAATGAAAACAGAGCAAAGGCAGACCTTATATTTAAGTGATGCTTTCATGGCATCATGGTCAGAAGTCATCCCAGTGCACAGTCAGGTGCCTTAGCAGTTGGAAACTGGACAGCTGGTGGGAGAAGTGAGTCATAGCATCATATGATGATGATAGTAATATAGGAATGCTGAACTCACAGAGTTGTAGCCATCATTACCATATTCCCATTGAATAAAATTGAGCTTTATCATACATCACATTATATTCATGCATTTCGGTTATATTTGTTTTGTATTTTGCTTAAAATTTTAAAGTATGTTTTAATAGTTGTATAAGAGCTGTTACATAAGGGATTTACATCTACTTTTATGTGTTACTTACATACGTGTGTAAGTCAACTCTGAGAATTTTTTCTTTAAAAGCAGTTTGTAAATTACTAAGCTTAAGAAACATTGTTTTATTCCATTTTGTACATAATTGTTTCTGTTAGCTGTATTTTTAATGGTTTGAACTTCAAAAATTTTTTTTTCTAAAATTTCTGGGTTACAAAGTATGTCTATGTCTTCTAGACCTTTACCAGAAGATGATAGTATCGAAGCAGATATACTAGCTGTAACTGGACCAGAGAGCCAGCCTGGTAAGAAATTAACATTTTTAATGAAATGATGGGCTTTGTGTTATTTTTTGAACATATTTCTTCATACAAAAAAAAATATACACTAAGCTTTTATCCCATCATCGGGAGCCAAAGTATAAGTTGAACATTGAGGAAAGCATTTTTAGAATGTTTGAGAAAATTAACTTTCCAAAAACATATTCTTGGTTTCAGAGAATTTTTACAAAGAATTCATGGGAGGAAATAATTTTTTAGTAGTAAGAGGTGACTATAAGGTCTGCCTATATTATTTAAAAGACATTGCTACCTCATTGATCTCTTGCCAGTGATGTAGAAACAATGGTGATTAGAATCCAAATTTTGTAAATTAGTACTTTGGAATTGTGTTTAACGTTATTTTTCTTAAGAATGAAGTGGCTAGGGCCAGACGTGGTGGTTCATGCCTGTAAACTTAGGACTCTGGGAAGCCAAGGTGGGAGCATTGCTTGAGCCTGGGAGTTCAAGACCAGCCTGAGCAAGAGTGAGACCCTGTCTTGACTAAAAAAAATAAAAATAGG